TGCATGAGAAGTTCAAATGCAGGCTGCCAGCTTTGCACTGATACTTTCCCCATCACCTGCCTGGTCTGCAAGGGTTTCCTCTTTCACAATATTCTAGCAGCCTGGTGCTGACTTCATCTTCTATTCTGCTTTTGGTGAAACAAATAGAAGGCAGACGGTCCAGGGACTGAGGCTGAGGCCATGATATGTGTGGTGTTGTGGCCAGGGACTATGCCATTCTAAGCATGCAAGATGATGTGATTCACTTGACAGAGTAATGGCCTAGTAGGCATGAAACTCTGCAGTCCATCTCCAGCACCCCGTTAACTGGGTATGATGATGCAGCCTGTAATGCTTGAACTCAGTAGGTGGAGGCAGGAGGATTATAATTTCAAGGTCACCTTCAGCCACACTGCAAATTTAAGGCAAACCTTAAATAAAATAAAATTTGAGATACACGCCTTTAATTCCAGCACTTGGGAGGCAGAGGCAGGCAGATCTCTGTGAGTTTGAGGCCAACCATGGTCTTCAAAGTGAGTTCCAGGACAGCCAGGGTCATACAGAGAAACCCTGCCTCAAAAAACAAACAAACAAACAAACAAACAAAGCAACAATAAAAGATTAGTGATTATGTAGATTTACCTCAAGGCCTCTTTTGTCTGCCCTCGGTACTCTAAAACATTTGTGTACGTTTAATAATTTCTTTAAAAAGTGTGTGTGTGTGTGTGTGTGTGTGTGTGTGTGTGTGTGTGTGTGTAAGTGGTGCAGTCTCCAGTAACAGGCAGCTTCGGGCAGCAGAATAGTGGGACCTGGGATCCGGGAAACAAACTCCACACCTCTGTAAGAACAGCGCACTCTTAACTGTGGAGCTATCCCATCCCTGAATCACAGCATTTGGATGAGGAACCGACCAGAGACCTGGGCTTGTGGGTGTGGCTCCTGGGATGCAGAGGTGTGTGAGAAACCGTCTGAAAGTCTTGTGAATGGATTTTAGGTTATTTCCAGGAACACACATTTTTTTTTTTTGCTGAAAAATGAGTAAATACAGTATGTGGGGATGAACAAAGCACTCAGTAGCGAGTGTCCCCATTGGCAGAGTCGGAATGTATGTGTGCCTGGAGCTTTTTAGAAACTCAGGAACAAGGGGCGCTTTGTTAGGAATGAGGAACACTTGGATGCTCCTCCGTGCACCACCAGCTCCGCAGCTCTGTCCCAAACGCTTTACTTCCAGGACTTAAAAAAATTCTCACATTAACTTGATTTCTATATTAGATTTCAGATTCACGGCCAAAGCACACATCCTGGAGGAATAGTTACCTTCTCTTTACTTAAAATACGGACAGCAGTATACTGGCGGAACCGTGTATTTATAAAGTGACATTTCCACATCTGCCTTGTGAATTCCCTTCTTAGTCAAGTGGCCATAAAAAAGAGGAAGATAAAAATAAAAGAAAAGAAATGGCTGTAATTTAAGCAAAGAATAACTTCCTTTTTATTAGGTTTAACTCGAAACCAGGTATTATATTTATATAAATACTGTGGAAAAATATTTAACCTATTCACACAGGTTAAGTAACTAAGCGATAAGCTTTGTAGGTAAAGTGTGTTTAAATGCTCCCATTAAAGTCAAATGGTGCCGGGCAGTTTTTCCACTTTGCAAATACATACCATTAGGGGTCTGAAAAGGAAGGCTGTGGAAAGAATTTCCGGCAAACAAACTCGGCTGTTCATTGAAGAGATTGTGGCTACTTTATGTTACGGGGGGGGCGGTGAGGAGAGTCAAAAAGTCAAAATAACGAGGCTCAGCTGAGAGTGAGAGGCTTTTTTTTTTTTTTTTTTTTTTTGAGCTAGGCTTTCTCTGTGTAGTTGCAGCTGTTTGGAACTTCTTCTGTGTAGACCAGGCTGGCCTGGAACTCAGAGAGCTGCCTGCATCTTCAAAGCCAAGAAGCATTTGCTCAGCAGAGGGGCGTGGTATGTTAGCTGGTTCTCTTTATTAAAAATATGCAGAGGCTGGAGGGATGGCTTATTGGATAAGAGCCCTTGTTCTTGCAGAGGACCTGGGTTCAATTCCCAGCACCCACAAGGCAGCTCAGAACTGTCTATAGCTCAGATTCCAGGGGATCTGATGTTCTCTTCTGACCTCCTTGAGCACCAGGCATGCTTATGGTGGGTATACATACATGTGAGCAAAGCACTCATACATAAAATAAAATAAATAAATTTAAAACCAAAAAAGGACTATGCAAATCTATCAGAGCACAAGGTTGGGAGATCTGGGGTGTGTAGACCTTTCTGAGACTGTTTACAAGGAGCCAGCCAAGGAAAGGATACATTTAGCCAGCAGTGGTGGCGCACGCCTTTAATCCCAGCCCTCACAAAGCAGAGACAGGTGGAACTCTGTGAGTTCAAGGCCAGCCTGGTCTACAGAGTTCCAGCGCAGGTTCCACAGCACACAGAGAAACCCTGTCTGGAAAACCAAAACAAAACAAATAAAAAACCAAAGATACAAAACAGGGATACACTCATAGATTTCCTCTTTAAATGGAATGAATTCAATTTAGTTTCCAAACCAAGACCTGTTCCTCCCAAACAACAAACAAAGAAAATAGACAGTGTTGATGACTGTGTCATAAAAAAGCAGACTACAGAACTACTATGGGGCACTGAGAACATTGTCACGACCTTAGCTTCCAGACTTTTAAACTGGCAACTGTATTTAGTACAGTTCAATCAATATGCCAAGAATTACAGAGGCCATCATCTTTGGTTTTGTTTCTTTGGGAAGTCAGATAGATTGTATATTTTTGAGGCCTTAGGCTTTAGTTTTTGCAATAAGTAAAAATACTCATAAAATGGATCAGACAATAAAGATATAGACCTGAAGATGAAAACCACACACAGTATCACCCAGAGGCAACCATACTATCTTTGGGGTCGCCCATTACAAAGTTTCTGTTCTTTTTGAGGGAGTGAGTATACTGGGTTTAACCCTGGGGGCTCACATTACACATTTTATTCTTATGAATGGATGACTTCCTGCGACACAGGTTGTTTAAAAGCTGGCTTTTGGTCCCTTTAATGTTGTGCATTTATTTTTTGACTTTTGGTTTTGGTTTAGTGTTTTATTTTTGTTTGTTTCTAAATCAGGCTGGCCTCAGACTCACTATGTAGTGGAGGATAATTTTGAACTTCTAGTCCTCTTGCCTAGTGCTAGGGTTCCAGATGAACCATTCTGCCCAGTTTGTAAGGTACTGAGGAAGGAACCTAGGCTGTGGGGCATGCTAGACAGGCACTTATCAACTGAGCTACTTTCTTAATCTCTGATGTTGAATTTATTATTGTCGATGTGGTGAGCATCTTTCCATTTTTTAGATATTTGGCCATATGCATTCCATTAGCTCAAAAATAGTATAATTAATTCAACCAACTCCCTATTGATTAAATATAAACAACACTAGATTAAATATAGTAAAATATAAACAAAACTATATTAAAATCTAGGGAAACATTTTATAGTCATTTGATTTTTGTAGAATATATCTTTAAATTAAATGTATACATTATGGATCATATATGTGAATATTTGTATATTATATATGTATGTATTATTGATATTTAAATATGGTTTAAAATTGTTTATTCATTTGTTGTTTATGTGTATTCATATGTCGGGTTGAGACTTGGTGGCAAGAGACTTCACCTACTGAACCACCTAATCAACGTGGATTGTTTTTATAAGTTACACACTGCTTCAGTAGTTATCAAAACTGACTTTGTAATCACCTAATAAAAGCTATCTCTTATTTTTTCGTTTTAAATTGCATTTATTCACGTGCATGTCTATGTGAGTGATGTAACCTGTCTGCACGCTCCTACGGAGGCTAGAGGATGGTGTCAGATGCTCGGGAGCTGGAGTTACAGGCAGTTGTGAGCCACCAGATATGGGTGCTGGGTACAAACTATGGGTCCTCTGGAAGAGCAGCAACTATTCTTAACTACTGAACCACTTCACCAGCCACCGGGGTTACATGCTACTGTAGACATTGATATTTGAAAGAAAAGTGAGTCATGTTGTGTTGCTTCTCTCAATTTAGAAGTAAGCAAATGTGTTCATGTACAATTTTTACTTTGTTTTTAATAAAGTAGAGGTTTAAGATTAGCAAATTTGCTAAAAAAAAGTTACACACTGCTTAACTATGGAGATGTGTTCTGAAAGACACAGCATCAGGTGGTGTAGTTGCAGGAGCATTGCAGAGTGTGCTGATAGGAGCTAAGATTGTTAATATCATCTGGCAATACAGTGTCATAGGCTCATCACTGTATACACTGAACACAAACAAAACTTTGTTAAGGGGTGTGTGTGTGTGTGTGTGTGTGTGTGTGTGTGTGTGTGTGGCCATTGTTTTATGTTAACATGACTGGGTTAAGAGGTGGAAGCTTTATTTTGGGGTTTTTCTGTGAAGATAATTCAGGAAAAAAACCCTCAGCATTAGAGTCAACAGACTGGGCTGCAGAGATGGCTCAGCCGTCAAAGGCTATGCTCACAACCAAAAATACAAGAGTCAACAGACTGAGTAAAGGTCTCCCTTTGCTTGTGTTGTTGTGCATCCAATTTTTTTGAAGGTCCAGACAAAGAAAGGCAGAGGAAGGCCTGAGTTAGGATCCTGTGTAAAGCTGGATGCAGTAGCCTACATTTGTAATCCCAGCCTAAAGCGGGATAGGAGTCTAGGAAAGTGATTCCCAAAGCCCCTAAGCCTGCTAGCTTGTCCTATGTAGCAGTGTGCTATGGTATGCATATGCCTGCACACACACACACACACACACACACACACACACACACACACACACACTTTAAAAGGCAGAGGAAACAAGAATCTTCTTTCTCTGAAGCTACCACATATCCTCCTTTGCCTTTAAAACATAAAAGCCCAAGTCCTCTGGTGTGTCGTGTCCCCCCCACCCCCCAGACTCTGGGACTCACACCGGGGTCTCCAACCATCCATTCCTTTCTCAGGCCTTTGGCTCTAGCCTGGGGGTTACACCATTGGCTTCTGGGACCTCAGGTCTTTGCATATGAGTCCCACCACTGGCGACTCTGGCTCTCCGGCTTGCAGATGGCCTATCATGGGTCTTTCAGCCTCCACAGTCATGTGATTGATTCCATAATACATCCTTTCTCTTCTACCCCTGTGGATTGTATTGCTTCTGATTTTCTTGAGTACCCAGACTAATACAAGCCACCGTCAACTTTCTCATTAGGAAGACCTAGTTAATTTACCCACCTTCAGTCTGGAATTCTTGTTTCATCTCAGCAGGGCTAAGATTGCAGATGAAAATTTTCTTTTCAATCTGAGAGGTAAAAATAAGCATATGGATTTAGTATCCATTTCTGTGATGAGTAACATCAAACATGTTTTAAAGTATATAGTCATTGGTATTTCTCTTTTCAGTTGCTTGTACCTACCTTGTAGGTGTCTGGCCTTTACACATCTCAAACACAACATCAAGGGTACGGAAGTAGCTCAGGGGTTATGGAGTGCTTGCTGTGCAAGCATGAGGATGTGAGTTCAAATCTCCAGCATCCATGTAGAAAGTGGGGCTAACCTGGACTACCTATAACCCCAGCACTGTGCAGAGCAGAGACAGTAGGATCACTGGAATCGCCTGGCCACCAGCCTAGCTCCACAGCCAGATTTGGTGAGAGAACCTTTCTCAGGGGAATAACTTGGAAAGTGAAAGAATATGAACAACAGTGGACATCTTCCTCTGGCTTCTGTGCTAGTGCACAGGCGCGCCCATTCCATGTGACATAGGAGCATACACATTCGCACACACATGCACACTTGTGCATACTCACACGTACAAACAAGCAAAAAAAAAACCCAAGCAAAAAGCATGCATTGGTGCTGCCTGCGGCACTCACACATAACCCTATCCATGCAGCTGCCCCAGGTAAAGCCCTCCAAGATGCTTTTCACTTTTCTGGCCTTCTGCATCCACTCTGTATATCAGCTCCTTCCATTTCCTTAGCCACTGATTGAGTGCAGGCTCCATTCCATTTTGTAAAGTCTGAGTTGAGCCTCCCCACATTCCTTACCAGGCGTTAACTTACTCATTTTTGCATTGTCAGCTCCTGATTTATAATCAAACACACACTGTAGGTTCTTGACTAACAAAAGGTGATATTGGTTTTCCCATGTCTCATCAATCTCCTCTCCACTGAGTCATAGCCTCGCCATAATTACCATACCAAAACACCCTTTATTCTGCTCTTAACTGGTGCTGGAGCTGCTGTGAAAGCATGGTGTTTTCACTTCTGCACTGTTGGTGTTTGCTTCAGAGAAATCTGTCATGCAGCAGGCTATTCTTTGCTCTGCAGGTATTCTGCGACTTCCCTGACTCCCACTAACCACATCAGAGCCACTCCCCCACACACACCTTGGTGATGCCCACCAAATATGTAAATATGTAAACCTGTAGACACCATCACCATATTCCATCCAGGGCAACTCACCCTACGTAGAGGATCACAGGCCTACAGAAAAATGTAAAAACCAAGTTATGATGTCTTCCATGATCTTTCCCCCCACTGCCTTTCCAGCCCTATTTGTTATGTTGGAAAAGAACATGGGGTCTTGATAGTGTAAGGATTCAGGCATTGTGCTGTCCTGTCCTGTCACCTGGCAGAATGCACTCGGGCAGTACCCTGGTCAGCCCAGGGTTCCACGGTTGCACAGACTGCATGAGGGTGTAAAAGACTCCTTAAAAGAAAGACCCCCGCCCACTTATGCTCTCTTGTCTCCCACCTCTGTCCTCTCTGTCTCTGTGTCTCTCTACCTCCTTTCTCTTTCCTTCCCCCTTCCCTCCCCTTTATAATAAAACTTCTTACTTAAACGTCTGCCTGGCATGTTTGTCCCTCGGTCATCCTCCTTGCCATGGGATCCGCCAAGGTCCCCCTCGCAGCTTTATCATAGCAGATACTAAAAAGGGATAACACGATGTAATTAAAATGAAAGAAAACAATACAAAGCCACACGCCTGTCATTTAGATTTCCAAAGGAATCAAAAGTAAGAGCGAGAAAGAGAAAAATACCCACCCTGTGGAAGTCCTAGGCGCTTTTTCCTACGTTGGGATTTTGTTCTTTGGAAATGAATTGTCCCTGGCCACCAGTTGCCAAGATCAACAGGAATCCAGCTGGGATGTACCTTTGATGTCTCTTGTGTTTATTAACTAGAATGGGGTGAGAATGGAAGTCTTTCTGCAGGAAACGTCCAGAGGATGTGAGCACCCACCGCAGGCCCTAACCAGCGCGCACTCACCTCGTTGAGGCTGAGCAGAACCAGATTCAGAAACATGAACACAACAGGAATGTTTCTGGTCATTTTTCCTCAAATCCACCAGAGGGTTCCTGGGTAATTTTTCTGACAAACTCTGCCCATGTGCAGCATCTACAAGACAAGAGAACGCTTATGTTATTTTTTTTCCCACTAGTTACTCTGACAATCCCAACCCTCACTTTCTCCTCTGCTACGATTGACATCTGAGAAGGAGACCGCAAGTGCATACCATTTTATAGGCTGGCTTGATTGAAACCAGCTCTCTCTATAGATCCCATCATGCAAGAGACACACGGTTTTTGTCAGAAGACTGGCTACTAGCAAAAAAGGTTTTGATGCTATTGCTAGTGAGAAATTAGTAACTAGATCCTTGGTCCGTTTTATGCCAACTTTATAATTATACTGTTTCAGTGGTAAACCAGACCTTTGAGCCAAGGGTAATTTAGAAACTTTAGATTCGAATCCCCCTCCCCCCTTTCCTTTAATGTTCATCTCTGCTGCTTCTCCATCTTCATTCAAACATATAATTTCCCCCATTCCTGCTTCATCCTGGTTCCTTGTTCTGTGACCTTTCACAGGAAGAATGCTTTCCCTCATCCTGAGACATGGTGGGCAATGATCAAGGTTGTGTATACACAGACCTAATTCTAGGCCACACTGACACTCTGCAAGAGTGTCACCAATGTGTGCTCACAGCTTGGTCTCAAGGCCGGGAGAACAAATGGCCTTGTATTGTGCCTAGGGTGCCTGTGTATAGGAGAATTAGTTTCTTCAGAAGAGTAGCACATGGGAGATTACTTTCTCAGATAGTGGAGTTCTTTTGCAATTCCATAGCCCCTTTCAGAAGTCTTCTATATAGGAATATTTATTGTATATTAAAAATGAAAACTGGGGCTTCCTGAGTGAGAATATTCTAGTTTCTTAGTCAGCAGGCATGTAATCAAAATACTTGGGAGACTGAGGCAGGATTAGCAAAGACTCCAGGCCATCCTGGCCTACATAGCAAAAGCCAGTCACCCAGAAGAAAATCTCAAAAGCAGAAAGGAAGGAAGAAAGGAGGGAAGGAAGGGAGGAGGGAAAGAGGGATGAGGGAGGAAGGGGAAGAGAATGTTCTAGTCTTACTTTGCTTTGGCATCCATTCTCCCTGCTTTATTGTCTTCCTTCGGCCAGTTTTTGTTCTGATGCATTGTTTTTCTTCTCTTTAAGTGCTATATTTGGAATACATATATGTGTATATGTGCACATACATACATAAGGGCATGTATTCACATAAAACTACAAGTATATCTTAGCATCCTAAATTTTCTTCCAGCTGCAAGTCTTCCAAACCATCTGCTTTTGAGTTAATGCTCTCCCAGCCAGCCTTGTTCCCTCCCACAGTGTCTTCTTTATATTTGACCAAGTTTCCACAGAAATAAATCGACTCCTCCAAGAGCTCTATAGGAATCTCTGTCACCAAATTCCAGAAAGCCTGTCCCATGTGTGACCATGGGGCTGCATCCTCCTCCTAACCTGATGGCGCATGTCCTCCAGAAACGCTTTGATGTTTTGGCTTCTTGTGTTGTTATGATTATTATCTTGAGATGGGACCTTACTGTGCAGTCCAGGCTGATCTCTAAGTCGTGATCCTCCTGTCTCAGCCTCCCCTGTGCTGGGATTACCGTTGTTTGCTACCATGCCTGACATGTTTCTTCTTTGTAACTCTTCCTCTCTCCGCCTCTGTTGGTCCCCCCCTAAGACTCACCCAGTTTGCCCATGTGTTGTTGTCTGCGCTGCTCTAGCTAGTAAACACTAGGTCCTCTGCAGAGGAGTCAGGCTAGAGAGGGCCTGCCACATGGCCGCCCACCGTGGTGCAGAGGGCAGCCAAAGTTCCCTTTGGAGACAGCTGGTTTCCATTTCAGGAGTCTCAACATTGTGGCTTTACTGATTGTCTTTTCACCTCTAGGTTGGTCTTACTTGTAGCTAAAACATAACCAACCATTGTCACTAAGCCCTGCAGGGCCACTGCTCCAGTTGTGTGCCCTGGCTGTGTGTCTTGTCATGCAGACACTATCGGGATTAGCAGAAGTCGCTTCTAGACCAAGGGTGACGTGAAGGCAGTTTTTGTCAAGGGCCACTTGTGGAATTATTACTAAATGGCTTTTCAAATTGTCTCATCGCTCTGAGAAGCAGGCTGGTTGAGCACCCTTGTCAGAGTGCAGTCCCTCGTCCAGAGATAAAGCCAAATCCACAGGAATCCCGTGAATGGTGAAGTCTGGAGGCAGTACCTTCAGTACAAACCGCAGGCTGTATGTAGCTCCGCAGGGCTGCCCTTGGTGCAGAAAGCAACCCACCCTTGCCTGTTTTAAGTGAAAACATCCCAGGATGGAAAAGGGATTCTGAGAGTGGAATGCTTTGTAGTCGCTGTGCTGTGGATGAGGTTGAGGCACTCTAATAAATGAGAGTGTGCTTAGAGGTCCCGCTTTCCTGCTTCTCGGCACCCTGTCCTTGGGGACCTCAAAGACATAAAGATCATTCAGGTTTTTCCTAAAGTAACTGAGCGAAGGAGAAGCCCCACTGGCTGTAATCGGCTTTCCAGATAGGTTACATATTTATGAACACCATGTAGCAGCTACCACCAAGCCTCTTAGAGATATACACACATACTTACAGCGTATGCACATGTATGTAACACATACCAAACATGTATCATATGCACATAAGAAATATCCTTGTCGGGCTGATGATGGCTTAGTAGATTAGGGAGACCATTTGCCACCTAGGATAATAACCTCTAGGGTGGAAGAAGAAAACCAATTCCCAAAAGTTGTTTTCTGACCTCTATACAGGTGCAGTGATTGTGCATGCCCACACACACATAAATAAATGTTTAATTTTTTTTGTTTGTTTTTTTGAGACAGGGTTTCTCTGTATTGTTTTGGAGACTGCCTTGGAACTAGCTCTTATAGACCAGGCTGATCTCGAACTCACAGAGATCCACCTGCCTCTGCCTCCCCAGTGCTAGGATTAAAGGCGTGCACCACCAACGCCCAGCTTAAATGTTTAATTTTTTTTTAAAAAGCAACACCTTTGTGTCTTTCTATCTGCCTATATGTGTAACCTGCTTCTCCAAATGTTAGTGTCAACAAGGACATGCTATTCCTTGTCTCCTTGCCACTGCCTATCCATCAGTGAATAGAGGAGCTGGGCCAGCCCCATGTTTGGTGAGAAGATGTCTTTGCCTTGCGCAAGACTGCTAGCGTTCATTCTTGTCCTCCAGCACTCGGTTCTGGGTATGCAGTTGGCCCTCTGTGACATGGTGTGCTTGTGTGTGGCTAGAACCCTATAGTTTCGAAGCTTCTACCCAGTGCTAAAGTTTGCACACAACTGGATTAGGAAATGAGCAAAATGATCAATTAGTAGGTGCGTGTGCTCATCTCCAGGCATGTGGCCTTGCACGCAGCAACTCTGGCTTGATACACAAGGCCTACTCAGAGGAATGTTATCTATTAGAGACCTTGACTGGCCTGCTAGGTTAAAGGCAAGACCCAGGCCTGATCTAGGTTGGCTTTTTAAAGACCTTTGCCTCAGTGTTGGTCAACATACTTCTCCAGAAACATCAGTCAAGGCCCTTTTGTAAAGTCTCGTTGTGGTCTCTTAGAACTTGCACACAGCCGCGGACTACTCTCTTTAAAAAAACCTTCCTGCTAATTCCAAGGTTCTCAGTCTGCCATCACATTTCCATAGATTCTTGCCACCTTTTACTTTCAACTTTATTTCTAGGAGTCTCCCATAGGCTCACCCATTCAGGGAGGATGATCTTCTACTGACTTTTCCCACCCAGAGGTTCCCTACCCAGCCCTAACTCTCTTCTTGTCTCAACCCTGCTGTGTGACATACCTGTCATACCTTCTGGCACATCTAACATCTCCCAACCCCGATCTATTCTGATCTTAGATCAAGACTGACCTGTGCCTTCTAGGCATCCTGGTGCGGCAGCTCTGGAGAGATTGCCCCTTCCTCTGCTTTTGGAGTCACTGCTGTCTGCACCACTGTGTTTTGCCCTGTTCTTATGAGACATACCATGGAGCACACAGGAAGAAGCTGGGGGTATCTGAGGGCCTTGCAGGTGTGACCAAAGGCTGGCAACAGCTGACACAGCTAGGAAAGTTCACAAGATGCCCAATATTGCATTTGAAGGAGAACAAGGAGAAGGTATTTTCACAGGCTTTTGTGGGAACACCAGACCTTGAGCGACAGGCTTTTAAGCATATAAGGAGGGATGGACCATGTAGCCCCAGATGATGGGACGATAGAAATAGCTTGCTGGGGGCCAGGGCTGTAAAGTCTTCTCCTTGGGTACTGCTTTTATGGTTGTTTAGACCTCACTTGGTGAATATTTAGGACAGAGCCTGATCAAAAAACAGATAGTAGAACACATGGGGCTGATTTGGAGGTTAAGAGCATTTATTTACTGCTCTTCTAGAGGACCCAGATGTGGCTCCTGGAAGCCACATTGTGGCTAACAACCTGTAATTCTAGTTCTAGAGTATCCCATACCCTCTTCTGGCCTCCATAGGACACCTTACCCTCTCTGAGGAGCAGATAGAGGATGGGGTGGGGGAAAGGTGGAGGGAAGGGGAGGAGACCAGGAGGGGGAACTGGGATTGGTATGTAATAAAAAAAATTAAAAATAAAATTTAAAAGGGCTAAAAGAAAAAAAGAGAATGAAAACACTTACTACCACTCAAGGATATAATGATTTTAAAGATATTCCTATACAAACAAATATATTTCTACATACACACATATTTCTACACACACATACATACACATATACTTACACACACACACAGATGCACACACAGAGTGTGTACATTTTAGTTCTAGCAGAGGTCAGAAGAGGTTTCTGGAACCCTTGGAGTTGGAGCTGTAGATGGTTGTGAGTCACCAATATGGGCGCTGTGATCTGAACTCTGGTCTTCACAGTTGGTCAGCAAGAACTTTTTCCCCAGTATTAAAAAATACTCAGATTATAATACATAATATAATATAATATAATATAATATAATCCCCTTCCTTTTCCTCCCTTCAAATCTTCCCATGTGCTGCCCCATTACTCTCTTTCATGGCCTCTT